TTAAATTACTAATTATTATTTATTCTCCCCAAGTTCAAATTCCATAATCATTGTCTTTCGATTATAAATGTGAGTGTGTCTTTGTAATCGTCTCCAAGATACAAAGTTTCGTTTGAATTTTTATTATTTCATTATTAATTTGGCAAATAAAACAGCTGACGCATACATGCAAACGGGCGAGCTAGCGCGAATGAGGAGGTTTGGTTCCAAGGCAACAAAAATTTATCAACAACAATAATAATCGTATAAAAAAACAGGAAAGTCTAAAGCCAGCCGCACAATCAGGCGATAAACTCGTGCTTCGAAAAATATTCCATAAACGTGGTGTTGTCATGAGACCAAGACGTTGTTGGCGGGCCCCATTTTTTATTTTATGTTATAAAAAATCTATATAAACAGGTTTATATTTTTATACGCGGCAAAACATTGTCATCGCGGTCTCTGACTGTGCCAATGCTGACACAGCACTTTCTTCTGCTGTTTTACTGCTACTTTGCCCGAGAGATAGAGACGTGTCACGTTTTTTGTTGTATTTGCTTGATATATATTTTTTGTTTTAAATTTAGCAATGGCAACACGTTTTGTTTTTCATTGTTGTGTTTCATTCCAATAAGAAACTGAGACCGGCCGCTCTGCTGACTGTATCTCACTAACCAAACAGCAACAACAACATTAATGCGAAAATATAATTCACACATAAACTATTGACTGACTACTGTTAAAACAATAATAACAACAACAGCAACAACACATTTCTCAATGAGAGCACACACAGCGGGTAGGCAAGGCAGTTTTGCCAAAGGGAGTATTGGGTGTGAGAGTGAATGTGTATGTGTGCATGAATGTTTTTGGTACAGGCGTCACACAACACAATGATGAATGCATGGCCAATCAAGCATGTGGGGAATTTTATTACGTTGTTGTTTCACAAACATTTTTGTTTTTTATTTTATTTTTAAAAATAAATAATTAAATAATTTGCTTAGAAATTCCCCCTATTAACTGTCTTTCTTCTTCTCTCTTTGTTTGCCTTTACTACTCTCACGAGATCCTAGCATGATTTGCGTTGATTTGTTAACCAGCATCAATTACTGCTGTTATGACAACAAATGACACATATGACAATCATTGACACCTGCTGCTGCTGACGCCGTTGGCTGGATTCACAATGCAGTTATACCGTTGCACACAACCAAAGCGGCAAGAAGGAGGAGAAAGTGTTATAGGGGAATTATGTTATCTAAAGCAATGTTTACATTATCAATTTGGAAAGGTAATTAGTTTTTCTTTCTTTTTGTTATTGTTTTTTTTTCACATTTCAATCAATTATTTGATAAATTTATTTAAACCAAAAACAATTCCTGCTTACTTATTTATTATTTATCAACAAATCAAAAAAATGAAAATTTAACAAAAAAATATTTAGAAATTCTAAACTATGGAATTTTTAAAAATCAATCATATCAGCAACAACATAGAAAAATCAGCAACAACAAGTTTCTCTCTCTTGAGAGAGTAATTAAGTTGCGCTATTTTTAATTGTGTAACAAGCGTACTTTTTGTTCACAAAAGGTACAATTGACATAAACGTACCAAAACAAAAATTATATTTTTTATTATCCGTGGATACATTTACGCTTAAATTATAACATATATTATTTATGCAAACAACTGGTATAAATATTGGCCAATACGATAATTATGATTTATTATCATTTGAAGTAGAATTTTAGGTACCTTTTCGTACTTTTTTGTTCCTACCTGTGGCAATGTTTTCCAACACAATTCACAATTTACCACTGAGAGAGAGAGAGACTCTCAACACCGATCCCGATCCCGGCAAATATAAAACCACGCTAAGCGGAAAGAAAATCAATGTACATTTTGACATGAGTCAACAACAGCTGTCCGACTTGGCGGCTTGTCTGCACAGCTTATTATGCAAAACTGTACTTTTCTCTTGCAAATAATAAATCAATGCGCGGATATCATTTTTTCCATTTTATAAACAAATTTTTGACAAATCATCCTCATTATGATATGACATGACAAAAAAATAATAATCAATTTCAAATTAATCATTTGAATTTTGCTTTCATGAAAAAAATACTCCAGCAAAAAAAAAAGGAATGATGAAATTCTTATCGAACAGAGATATAAGATACGTTGCCATTTCCGAAATTTAGATCTCGAGGTCAAAAAGCAAAATTAGGTTCATATGGTCACATGTTCCCCAGAACCACACAAAAATCATTTTGCCGAATTCAAATTTCGACCTTGAATTCGGCGAATTTCATTATTATCACAAGAAATGATGAAATAAAATCAAAGCCGCAAAGCTCTACTGCAGGATGTGGATTACTATAACAAGTTATATATTTTATTTTATTTATTTAATTCATAATGTAACATCAGAGCCTCATGAGGCCATACAAATGTATTACATAAACAATAAACCTAAAATTAAACATAATTCATATATAATAAAAAAATTATGCAAAAATTTATAATTTTCAAACTAAGATAACTATAACTGGTTCCCCAACCAACAAAAAATTTAAGATATATATTATATATATATATATTATATATATATATATTATATATATATATTATTTTATATATATATATATATATATATATATGAATTTTTACAAGAAATGATGCATATTTAGGAATATTTCCTTAAAATTTAAATAATAAAATATTATAATATTTTTTATTCTTCGAAGATGATGCAAAAAAAATTTATTATAAACAAACATTTTGGAAGAATCATTATTAAAATTAAAATATATGTATGTAGGTAGTCCTTTTAGCGCAGCTAATGTCTCGACAAGCTGTCAAAGTGCCTAATTTCTACTTGAAATCGATGTGTAGTGTTGCCAACCATGTGAAATTTTATAAGGAAAATTTTGACAGTTGGTCGAGACAAAAACAAAGGTTTTTGTTTTAATACATCACCTTATTATTGCATCAGGAATACAAAGAAAAAAACATATCTTATTGGAAAACACTATGCAATAATTATTTCTTTAAAATTTCTAAATCTAAGCTTATTTTATTGTTGCCTATTATAGTACGTTTACATTTAACCGGATTTCGTAAACCCATTGGATTTTAATTGTCAATTCCTTTGCATATACGTCAAATAAATCCTCATAAAGTAGGTTAACCCGGTAAAAAGTTCTAATGTACAAGGAGTTTAAAACTGATATTACACACAAAAAATCCCCCTATTCGTAAAATAACTTTAGATTCCATTTAAATTTAAATTACTCAATCTAAAACTATGTCAACTAAATTGCTTCATGTGAACATTGTGTTAATTGTTTACCATTTTACTCTGCACCACTAAAAACAAAAAGGACAGTTATATCTGCTCTCCTTTTGTCAATGCAACGTGAGTATTTATGAAAGTTGTCAAAAATCTGTTATAATTCAAAAAACAGGAGAACATTGTCAAATGTCAAAAAGGAGTGACAGCTACTAAATGAGCGGCAAAATGGAATTTGTTGAGCCTGCCATCTCTTGAATAAGGAGAGTTAGTGAGAGAGAGAGAGTCATATATGGCTTATAACTACAAAACAGGATGACGGAAGTAAAGGAGTGTTAGCTGCATACACACAACCAGCCACACACACAAAAAATTAAGGTTGTGGGACACGTGTTGGGCTCGTGAAAGCAAAAAAGGAAAAAAACAAAGCTTGATTTGTTTTGAAGGCTATTTTGTGAACATGTTTTTTCTTGTGTCTATTAAAACGAATCAAAAGCAGACTTGAACAAGGTTATGATGGAATGACTAGCATGTTTTTATTTTTGATGAATTATTAATTTATTATATAATTGTTGTTTTTTTTAAGTAGCTGGATTTTCTCATTTTTTGTTTCTCTCTCCCCTCTCTCAAAGAAAGGATATGAGATTTGTATTATTTGTTATACATAATGTTCCGCATATTCACACACTATTGTCTGGGTCCTTTCTTGTTTCGTTTGACATTTGTTGTCTCGTTGTTGTTGCCGCTGCTGTGGTTATTTGACTGTGTAATAAATAGTACGTCAGTCAGGCTTTGTTTGGCCCAACATCTGTTTGGCGCCTTTGCACAATCATCAGCCGCCATCAGCAGTTGTTGTGTGGTAGTAGTACAGCCGCCACCATCATCCCCTGTTTTTGGTTTAAACTTGAAATAAAAAATTTTGCATGCGCCACTACCACACCACCTCCCTAATTTTATTATGGTGCCTGACTATCCCTCTCACCGCCTCTTTTTCTATTTTACTTTGAGGTAGATAAATATGGGGGGATTTATTGATTTTTTTATCCAAACAAAAAACAACAACAAAATTGATTTTTTGTTTCTGAATGACATAAAGAAACTGATTGACGTACATACATACACACACTGGTGGCGATTGTCACATTCCCTTGCGGTTCATCTGCCCCTACGACGTCCGCCGTCTGACCATTTATTACGTTTTTTATTTGCTTTTATCCAAAGAAAAAAAAAACACAACCGTGAACAATCATGTTTTAGTAGTTTTTGTATATACCTTTTCTTCACGCAATTTTTTGTATTTCTCTCGACCAAAAAAAAATGACAAATCTTTTTTTCGGAATACGTCAGAATATACCCAACGAAATAAATACAAGAACAACAAAAACATCAGGCAGGCAACCAGCCCAGCACGGGGAAATGTACGTCAAATGATTCTTAGCTCATACAGTAATACAGAAAAGAATTCTTTTCTAAACGGCTGGTTAAGTAATCCGAAAGGTGGGCAACACAAAAAAAAACAAAGGTGGCAAAAAATTAAAAAAATGCGTTGGCGTTCCATCACTTCCAAAAAAATATCTAATTGCTTTTTTGCAGTTCCACATTCCAAAATTTCATAAAATAAAGGACACTAGTCTCACTTTTCTTAATAACCTCATGGACTTTCATCATCAACATCCTCCGAAAAATAGTTCCTTTAAAAAAACATAGCTGGCTTATTACTCACTTGTATTTCACTTTAGGAAAAACTTGAACGTTTTCTCGCTTTAATTTTTCTTCTCGAATCGACACGGCACACAATTTTTCTGCTTAAAAACTGTTTCTTTTTTAATAATTTTTTCTTACTAAAACGTTAGTTTAGTTTCTTATTTTTATTTAATTTTAACTTAAAAATTAGTTTTCGAAGAGTATTATTTTTTTCTACTGCTTCTTCTTTCTTTCGACGGCTTTTTGTTAGAGTTGTGTATGTTGTTTCTTTTTTTATATCCAAATTATTTATAGTTTGAATATAGAGCACGTTATGCGGTTTTATATACGTTACTCTGGCCGAATGATGTTACAACAAACTGCCAAATGAAATAAACGAAGAAGAACAAATGGCCAGCTAGCGCTCTGCTCGTTCACACACAGAAATGCTTTCATTTCAACTCTCAGTGAAATGTCTGCGAGTCTGAGAGATACAACGAGAGAGAGAGAGTGTGTAAACGGTGTATTGCCTGCATGCGTGCGTGTGTGTGATGCCATACGTTGGGTGTTTGTCGCCTCTCTCGGTTCTGCCGCCGTTATTATTTTTTGCAAAGGCATGGTGAGAGTGCCCACATTGTTGTTGTTGTTGCTTGATTTCTGTTATAACAACAGAAACACGCATTCGCACACACATTATTAATAATACCAATTGGTATGTCAGTTATCACACGAACTCTCAACGGCATATAAGGGAAAAAGAGAGACAGTAATGAAATTGGAATGAATAATAGAGTTGCCAATGTGAATAGGAATCTAATTGGAATTAATAGGCATTTCATTTAAATGAAAAGGGATTAAATAAATGAATGGAATTTTGCAAATTAAAAATAAATTATATGGAAATTATAAAAAAATAGAATAATAAAAAATAAAAAGTATAGAAAAATGAAAATATAAAATAAAATAATAAAATTAAAAATATAAAAAAAGAAAAACAAAACAAAAATTATATAATAATAAAGATTGTATAAAAAATAATAAATAAAAAATATAAAAGATAGTAAACAAAATAAAAAAATAATAAACAAAATAATTATAAAAATAAAATAAAAAACAATATAAATGTCTAGATCGTTTTTAAAGCAGATGTGTTATTTTGGTATATACGAGATAGAGTGGGAGAGTATTGAAATTAGAATGAGTGATAGGTTTACCAGTTTGAAAAAGAATCTAATCGGAATTAATAGTTCAGTACTCCATTTAAATGTAGATGGATTACAACACGAAGCTATAATAAGGTGATGTATCAAAACAAAAACCATCTGTCAAATCTTTCCTTATAATATTTCACATGGTTGGCAACATTGCACATCGAATTCAAGTAGAAATTACGCACATTGGCAGCGAATGGAGACATCATCTGCACTAAATGGACTACCCATTTTTTTGTGCCATGATTCAGCCCGTATAAATTTGAAAATGTTTAATTGTTCTAAAGACCAAAGTCGGCATCATTTTTTATATTACTTTATTATTAATTTATTTATTTTATTATTTCTATTATTTATTATTAAATATTATTCAATCGATTTAAATATTTTTATTTAAAAATGTATCTATCTTTGCAAAGAAACACAGCTATAATACCCTTTATCTGATTGCTCTAAACAGCTGATGCTTCATATCGATCTATATAACCCTAACACATTTGATGTGTTATTGTGAATGCAACCAAACAATGACAATCAAAATAGATTATTTTTTGCGAGGAACACATCAGCCAAGCGGACAGACAGACGGAACAACGTAATTTATAAAAACAAAAAATTTCAAAATAAAAAGTATTGGAAAATCCAGCGAAAATAAAAAAGAAATTATTACAAAATGGTAAGCCAAACAAAAATCCATTAAGAAAAATCATGTTCAATAATCGCATTTTAAAATCCCTGTAGTTTCATTTTAGTGGCTTCAATATGATGTTCCCCGAGGCTGGACGTAGCTTCAAGGCATCATACAAATGTTTTTCGGTATCCATGTTACCGGGCAATGAGCGCCAAGATGTGGAAAATGGTGGCAAGAGTAAGGAAGCAAATCGAAGCTAAGAAATTAATTGATTTAAAATAAAAAATATATATTTTTTTATTTTTGTTATAGTCATTATGCCACCCTCAGCATTGGATTCCCTGACCCGCCTCAATGTCGAATACCCAATGCTGTTCAAATTGATTAACAACAAAAAAGCCCGAACTTCACATGCTGGCGTTTTGGAGTTTGTGGCCGATGAGGGTAAATGTTATCTGCCCTATTGGATGATGGACAATTTGCTGCTGGAGGAGGGTGATATTCTAACCATAGAAAGTGTCTCCTTGCCGGTGGCTAAGTTCTCCAAATTTCAACCACATAGCACAGATTTTTTGGATATTACCAATCCAAAGGCGGTGTTGGAAAATGCTCTCAGAAATTTTGCATGTTTGACCACGGGAGATGTCATTGCCATTAAATATAATAAAAAGGTGTATGAGTTGTGTGTGCTGGAAACAAAACCGGGTAATGCTGTGAGCATTATTGAATGTGATATGAATGTAAGTCCAAGACACAATTTTGGAGTAAAACGGTGGAGAAATCATTATTTTGCAAATTTTAGGTGGAATTTGAAGCCCCTGTGGGCTATAAGGAGCCAACAACATCCAAGAAAGTAGAGCCACAAGAGGAAATGCCCCAGGACCATGTCATGGAAGAGGTGGTGGAAACCTTTAAAGGTTCTGGGGTACGTTTGGATGGTAAAAAGAAAAAGGACAATCAATTGGATGCACCAGTCATTAAGAAGGTAAGTTTGGCCAATTCATATTTTTTGGTTTTTATTAATTTATCGATTGCTTCTTGATTTTCCTTTCAGATTCTGGCCCGTGGCGTTCCCGATTATGATTATCAATTTGGTTATTTGAAATTTGATCGCACCATTAAGCCGATTAGTGATCGTGTGGCAGAAATTGATGCCACACCAGCGGTACAAGAAAATTTCCAGGGTGAGGGATTTTCAATGAAAAAATCCCGCAAATAAGGAAGACAACAACAAAACAAAAAGATGTCCTTTTTTAAACAATAACAAATACATACATCTATATATTCTATCTCGCTTTAGCCATTACATTTATAAAGAATGAATTTGAATTTTTAACAAAATATCGTGTTGTTGTTGGTTGTTGTTCTTACAATGGTATTGTTAGCTTAATCACTTCGGGTGCCTTGGCTGGGGGTGGTGGTATCAGAGTCATAGGTGGCAACTTCTTAATCTTACGACCAAAACGACCATCCTTACGTTGCCACAAACCGGAACGGGGACGATTACCCAAGAGACGCATTCTTTGCGCTGAACCAATGTGTTCTTTGTTGTGTTCAATGTTGCTTACACGGCCCACTGTGGCCATACACGTCTTATCGAAGGCATATTCACGTTTCGAAGGTAGCTGTACCACAACCTTGTCATCGAATTTGCGCAAAATGGTACCATATGTACCGGCAGCATGTATCAGATGGCAGGGATAGCCGGGATTCTTTTCTAAATTGTGAATTCTGGTGCCGACGGGCAGGGCACCCAATGGATAGGCATCACCTTCATTGGGGCGGACTAAAGCGAAAAAATTAGAAATCAATTAAACTTCTCTTTTCAAGAAATCTCAATTGCCACTCACCTGGAATACGTGGAATAAAACGTGATGTCTTAATAATATCACCCTCCTTCATGTTTTCGGTGGCCAAAATATATTTCAGTTCATCGCCCACACCGACCAAAGCTATCTTCGCCGTACGACAACCATCATCCAAAATCTCAATTACCTTCTCCTCTTGCGGAGGTCCTTCCAGGGGACCATCACGTACCCATTTAATCCAATGATATTTCTGTTTAAGGCCACCACCAATACCCTTGGCCACAACACGACCCGTAACCGGATCACGACCAGCCAAATGAGTTATAGTCAATGGTTCAACGGTATATTCATCTTTAAAGTGGACAATTCGTCTAAATTGCTGACCATTGCCGGGTTTGGGTTTCTCGACAACTTTTGTTTTGGTTCTTAGCTGGATGGCGGCAGCTGTGGCAGTGGCGGGAACCAGCAGATTATGGCGTTGTGTTTGAATGGCACAATTGGCCATCAGTCGTGTTAAATTATTCATTTTTTAATTAATATTATTTATCGTTGATTATTTAACAAAAATGTTAGTCGCCAAATGCGAGAAATAATGTGTGAGACGACAACATATGCAAAAGGTGAGGGCTGTGAAAAGGCCTTTGACAATGTGAAGGGCTGCGATTAGTCTGCAACGTAACGTAAACTACAAAACAAAGTAAATACAATTGACTTATTTGTTTTTTTGAAAAACAATATTAAAAACATTATTGTAATTTCATTTTGTGCAAATATCCCTTAAAAACATTAAGAGAATAACAAATGCCAAAAAAATAATGCATGAGAAACGAGAAATGTGTGCAAAAGATGAAGACTGTGAAAATCAATTAGTTGATAACGTAACGTAGGCTGGTTGACATGTAGCAAGGGTTATATTATGAATATTATACAAGTAAAAAATCGTTATATTCGACAGGACCGATCATTCTAATCCTTCCACCATAGGGATAATATTTTTTAGTTACAATATTCTCTCATAGTCCAATATTGATCAATTTGGTAAGGGAGATTGCCATCTAAATTGAAACAAAAATATCAAATCCACAAAATGTTGTACAAAAATGTGTCTAAAAATCTCTACAGCACCTATAGAGCGGACATCGTTTTATGGGGACTAAAACAATAAAACCTGGACCGATATTGATAATTTTTGGTAGGAAGATTTGACACCCAAATCTGGAGGACATTACATTTTTATATCATTTTCTACGGAGACCAGATTTCAATCTAAGAGCCCTCGCCAGGACTACACATTTATCTAGAAAATGTTGTGGGGTATATAAAGGCTCTGAATTTTTATATACAACGTTAATACGACTCCTGGAGGTCTAAACATTTTTATAGAATAATTTCTAAGGCCTCCAGAGATAAATACATTTTTATAGAAAATGTACATTGTTATAAAATAGTTTACTAGGCATCCACAAGCCTCTACCTTTTTCTTAAACATTTTCCGAGACCATTAAAAAGCCTGTTAATCCTGCTTAAAGCCCACATAGACCCTTTAAAAGAAAATTGTCCTTTGTGCATTGTACGGTTCAACTTTTTATTACATTCATAACATCCATAAGAAATTTTTGCACCTCTGGATCTTGCATCAGTGCTCGCTTTTTCATACTCAATACCATTGCCAAGACATCGGGACATTTCTCTTTTTCACGACTGGTACGCATATCATTATCCTGACCGACGGCCGTCTCATCTTCATCCCCAGCACTTATGGCCCCCGATGGCATATTACTTGTAGCCGGCATGCTGTTATCATCATGGGAATCGGAGACAACCGGCTGTTTCACTTTCGGTTTGTATTTCCTTGGTGGTGGTGGTGTTGAAGTCGAAGCAGCAGCTGCAGCAGAAGAATCTTTTAATTTGTCACTTCTCTTGTGATAGGGCCGTTTTTGTCGTACTCCATCTTTCGTTTGTGGTTCTTTTTTGTGGTTGTCACCAAATGTGGCGGCGCTGGCACCTGTCGCGGAATGGGATTCCATTAGTTGACTGTTGTTGCTGTTATCTTCTCCTGTACTCTGTCCGTATTCATGCAGACGACGTTTCACATGAGATTGCAGTTTGGCCTTGATGTCATGTTGTGCCGTCCTATCGTCAGGTGGTGTTGATGGTGCTGGTTCCAATTTGATAGTTTGTAAATTAAGATTTTCACTCATTTTGTGTTTATTTAATAAAAGAATCGAATGAATGAAGAAATATTGAAAAACGTTCCAACTGTTACGAATGGGATGGGATAAGACAAAATGCCCGATAAAGAAGAAGTCATAAAAGAAAACGGAAAGTTACGAATGAGGTGGGAGTGGAGACAATGAAATGAACATCATAGATATGCTTAATGAACTAACGGAACTATATTCATGAAGTTTATTTTCTTGAATTCTCTTTGTATTTAAGTGTAAAGAAGGCGTTATTACACGTTGTTTAATGTCATATCTTTCATTTGAAGTAGAGTTTCATAGTTTTCAGGTTTTAAAAGTAATATTTAAATAACAACCAAAATAATAGTAAATTGAATACAATTTCAAATAAAAGATAAAGTTGAACACTTTTTAATGTCTATACTGCCATTATTGGTGTGTTCCCGTACTGCAAGAATCTACAATATTTTACTATTTTCTTCGTAGTAAAAAAGTAGCAAATTCTTTACAGTGCAGGAACAGACCATATGTATATTTAAAATGTAAACTCCTGCATCAATACATTGCCCTCTTTCTGTAATTCAATGAATCTTTGCATTACTTACAATTTTTTCCTATTTTCTGTAATTTTTATACAACTTATATTCAAATTGAACATTGCAAAATGACAGCTGATCCAAAAATGGTTGATTTTGCAAAATCTTACTGCAAAAATTTTTTTGTTATTGAGCTGTCAAACTTGCTCTCTCACTTGACTCAATTTTACTGGATTTTTGGGTAAACAGAAAAAATTTAGTAACATTTGGTAACAATTGTTACCAAATATCGAGTAAACAGACACAACTACTACTGAGATTCAACGCGGTTTTTTTTTTGCGAAACAATACAACCCTCTCACAATGTACCAAAATTTGCAACTGTCTTCACATGTTGTTTGTTTTCATATTTAGGTTGCCAAATGCAAAAATGAAAATGAAAGGAATACATTTTTTAGATGCATTATTTAGATGACGCATATGTATTCATAATGATTGGCCTAATACGGCTTTGTGTACATGTAAGAGTTTAAATAAATAATGAGTTATCGCAAAATACACATAAACTATAATAGTTATTTTGTGTACTTTATTTAGGCTTAAAATCCATTTACGATGTATTGGAAAGTTGGTAAGTGGCCAAAATTGAACATTAAATCGCCCATGGCACAATGAATAGGTAGTCCATTTAGCGCAGCTGATGTCTCGATTAACTGTCAAAATGCCTAATTTCTACTTGAATTTAATGTGCAATGTTGCCAACCATGTGAAATATTATATAGAAAAAATTGACAGATGGCCGAGACAAAAACAAAGGTTTTTGTTTTGATACATCTTCTTATTATTGCATCTTGAAACAAAAATTTGGGCAAGAGTGCCCTCAAAAATATAAATTAATTTTTTCAAAGTTTTGCTTGTTTTTTTTCGTGCTTGATGGAAGTCAGTAATCGATTAAAAAGCTGGCAGTCGAAAATAATTGTGTTTACTTGCGTTAAATGCAAATTTGTCATTCAAAAGTGCTAGTGTGTACACCACTGCAAGCACTTCTTATCAGAAATTCAAGTAATTATCGATTATTTGGCGATTTTTATACCCATTTTCACATTAAATTATTCGATTCCATCTTCCATGCTACCTCGTTTCCAATTACTCGATTAGTCACTTAGTCGACCTAAGTATCCCTATTCTTTAAAGTGCACACAGCAAGGCGAGTTAAAAAACAATAATATTATTGTTTAATTTATTTATACAAAAAAAGAAAAACAATAAAATATTGCAAAAAAACAATAACAAAAAATCCCACTAAAAGTGTACGCTATAAAAGTTCTACAAAAAAATTGTTATTTTAATGAAAAAAATTTGCACAATGTTCTATTGAAGAAAAAAAAAAACAAAATAGACGACGGAAAAAAATAAAAATATACATACCGACATCGTAGCGAAGAGAAATAACACACATATACAGAAAAAATACACAACAAGAAAAGAAAAAAACATATTTTTTACACACACACCGCACCGACAGCGGTCGTTTGGTCGGCTCGTTAGTTGATTGGTTAAGGCTAGCAAGGCAAGACAAGTAGTTGTCACGACGGATTGTTGGCGAAGCAGAAGAAGAGAAACGGGTGTGTGAGAGCGGTGCAAGAGAACGAAACAGAAAAGAAAAAAAAATAATATACGCGACCGAACGGCATAGAAACAAACGGCGGTTGACGGAAAAACAACGTGCATACGACGTTTTGTGTTCGCGTTTAGTAAAGAAATTTTTCAATTGAATTAAAAAAAATTGGTTAAGCAAGGGGGAGAACAATAAAACAAGTGAATTGTAATAATAAAAACACATAAAAAATTCATCATTTGTTTACAGATTGCAAAACAAACAAAAAAAATATTGCAAAAAAATATTGATTTTTTTCGTGGTGTGTGAATAAAAATTGTGTTTTTTCTTTTCTTCTTGATTGGCCGCCGTATATTTTTTTTACCATCATCCATCCATATTCGTTCATCGTTTGCTGCTTCGATCGGTCGGTATTGTTTAATTTGTATTGTATTGTGTTTTTGGTTTTTCGTTTTTTTTTTTCATTTGTTTCTGTTTTGCTGAGTATTTGCTTTTACGCAATCGTCGGTCGGTTGCTTGTTGTTAATGGTGGACGTTTTGGTTTTCGGTTTTTTTGCTTTCAATTTGTGATTTTTTATTTGAACAAAAATCAAGTAAGCAAAAATAAAAAAAAAAAGAAGGGGGGGTTGGCGGCGGGGCGTCTTCCGTTTTGATGAGCAGGCTTCGTCGTCGTTGTATAGGCATAAAAACCCGGCCGCCGCGTAATTTATTGTGTATTTACGATTGAGAGAGAGGAAAACAAATCCACAAAAAATACAGGTGGAGTCTTGAAACCGAATGAACGCGAACGGCCGGAAGGTGAAAAGAAAGCAAAGAAGAAGACCAGCAACAACAATAAAAAGAAAAGCAGCGGCTTTTGAACGAGCAAAATAAAATAAGGCGAAAAAAAACAAACAGCAGAGTTGTATTTTCGTCGAGTGTCGTGTCGGCCTCCGATTGTGTGAGACAGTGTGTGTGCATGTGTGTTTTGTGTGCGCGGTATTTATTTTGGTGGATTCTTTATTTTTATACTTTCGTTTCTTCTTCCTCTTTTATTCCCATTTACAGTGTGTGCAATACAAAACAGCCAGCAACAACATCCACATTGTCAACATCACACAACAGGAGGGGAACAACATACAACAATAATATTTAACATCAAATTAACACCACACCACCAATAACAAATACAATAAATAACAACAACAGTAACATTATTCTGTCAGAAACAAAGTGGGGAAGAGAACAGCAGCAGCAACAACAACAACAAGTCAACACAACACCGTACGGTATAGCAGAAAAATACGCGAAATCGATATTTGAATGCGTGGTTTTATATTTGCCGGGATCGGGATCGGTGTTGAGATTTTCTCTCTCTCTCAGTGGTAAATTGTGAATTGTGTTGGAAAACATTACCACAGGTAGGAACAAAAAAGTGCGAAAAGGTACCTAAAATTCTACTTCAAATGATAATAAATAATAATTATCGAGAAATATTGGCCAATATTTATACCAGTTATTTGCATAAATAATATATGTTATAATTTAAGCGTAAATGTATTCACGAATAATAAAAAATCTAATTTTTGTTTTGGTACGTTTATGTCAATTCGTACCTTTTGTGAACAAAAAGTACGCTTGTTACAAAATTAAAAATAGCGCAACTCTAATTACTCTCTCAAGAGAGAGAAACTCTCAACACCGATCCCGATCCCGACAAATATAAAACCACACAATGGGTTTAGTTTAGTGTTGTGTAGGCGCAACAACAAAACACAGTGAGTGAGAGCGAGCAAGCAAGAGAGAGCATGTGTGTTTGGTTGATTGACTGATTGAATGTAATAACGGGCATTAGAAAGAGAACATAAGTGAGGAGTAGCCACTGTGACTACTGTGAGTGAATGTGTGATACGTGTGTGAGGAGAGAGCAAAAAACCCCAGGGAAAGAATAAAATAAACAAATCAAAAAAGAAATTAAATTGGCAAACAACGACGACGAGGCAATCATTGTCGTAATTGTTTTTTTACATTTCCCGGCAAAAGACGACAAACCAAAGCTTGCTGGGCTGTTGTTCACAATTGAATTGTGTGCAAAGCTAGATTTATGAATTGAAAGAAAACAGATAACGGGTATAATTTATTTTTTAGTGTTGGTAAACGTTCAAAAAAAAAGAAATAAAACAATCTGAGACAAGTTGTATTATTTACAAAAGGAAAACAAATTGTGTAGCAATTTAACAAAACAGTCAGAAACAAGAATCAAAACACGAGCAAACGTATCATCATCGTTTCCATCTTCGTACGTAAACACACACAATACCGACGAGACAAGCATTCGTTCGTTCTTTCGCATCGTTGCCGATCCATTTGAGTTGCTGCTTGGGAGTGTGTACGTGTGTGTGAGTGTATATGTGATATTGCGGATTCTAAATTGACAAATTGACGAATTATAGCAGCACAACACAAAATAACTACAGAAACAAAACGAAAATAGCAAGTCAAAAAAGGTAAACATTGTGCAAAAAAATAAGAATGAAAATAAACATCAATATAATAATTGTTGGTAGAAATATGTAATGGAACGTAATGTATACGTATCCATTACGTATGAACCGGTTATATGCAATTAAGGTATATAAACCGTTTTGGAACAACTCTAGTTTAGTAAAAACGATCAGAGGTAGATCCAGAGGTAGGTAATTTTACCCTAATTATGGGGATATCTTTTTTTCTTGAGGGACGTACCCGGTTATTTGATCTCAAACTGTTTTGGAGATATAGTCAAAAAACTGGGTTTTGGCCCCCGATTTTTTTGAAAAAACTCCCTAAATGTCGAACTTCTTGGGTCCATTTCCAAAATTGTGCGATATGCGGCTATATCTGTT